ATACTGTCAGCACAGAGCCCCATGCGGGACCTGACCCCAGGGTCTGTGAGATCATGACCCGAGCTGTAATTAAGAGTTAGCTGCTTAACTGACTGAGCCACCAAGGTGCCCCAAACATATCAATTTTAATAGGAAATACTAAAATATTTTGCTTGCAAATATTTTGTGTGTATGCATACCCACACATAAATAATATTTAGGCACAGGGTATATTGGTTTAAAGATGATCAAACACTACTTTATACAAAGAGCATCATTCCAATGGCCAGAGATTTGTGGACTTTGTACCTAAAAGACACATTGTATTTCTACAGAGAAGACTTTTATAGAAAAATAATCAGGGTTTTCCATTTTAGCACTTGAATAACTGAGTGCCTGTTGCAAAGTTAGAGGAATATAGTAACAGAGGTCTGGAAATCACTTACTGAGTTTCAGCTATATACCAGGTTGGTGTGTGTGTGTGGGGGGGGGTGGATGGCAGGGCGCAAAAGGGTTAGACACTATGAGTCCAGTCCTAAAAATGTAAGAGAAAGCAAGTAGAGAATTCATGTTTCTCTTTAATGGCCGCACTTAATCTTTGCAGAAGGACCTGCACACTGATCTCCCTTACTTCATCAATTTCAACTCATGGCTGAATTTGTTTCATATCTCTACCCATTTGCCCTAACCCCTGAATATTTTGAAGGAAATTATTTTATCCTTAAGTATTTCAATGTATATCTTAAGAAAAACACTCTTAAATATAAGCATAATGCCATCTTCAATCTTAAAAATTTATGCTAAAAATTAATCAAATTTCCTCAATTCTTGCAGAGATGTTTTTCCTCATCTTATTTTTTAAAACCATGTTTCACTTATTTTGTCCTGTAGTTTCTTACAGAGTCTATATTTTGATTGCAAAGTACAGTTTAACACATTTCTCTCTTCCCTGAATTTTATGGAAATTGAGATTTGACCTAAATTGTTTCAACAATAGAATTTAGGGTATTTTTGAAGAGTGGCCAATGTCTGCTTCTTAGATAAGTTTCCTCATTGTCCGTCTTCTTAGCCAAGAATTTACAGAAGCTAGTTCAAAGATTAGCATGGTGAAGTTATCAAATTCAGAATGCCTTGGACTCTAAAAAGAGAACCAGACATGGATATCATTAACTCTACTAAAAAATATAATGTGATCTATTTTTAGATGTTTCATAGTGCTTGCTTCTGTGTCAGTATTAATAGAACGATAAGGTTTCAGCTTCTTTATGATCATAAAGCTAGTGTGGAGGGGCAGGCCTTGGGAGCATGAAATCAAATACAAGAGTTCTCTGGAGCACAATTTGATGGATAATCTTGAATATTCCTTCTAGCTCTAAACCTCAGAGTGATGATGAGCTGTCTGGTACAATACGCAATGTTTTTGCAAACTCATGAACTTCCCTTAAAGCTATACTTGAGCATAGCTATGAAATATTAAGGGGGCAAAAGATAGACACATAGCATTTCAGCTCAACTGAAATATTTTTGGATTGTCAGTAACTCTACAAGTAGATTAGGAATATACAATGTATCAACATGCTGCAGTTCCTCTTTCAAGCAAAACAAAATAAAACACCTTCCAGTGACAAGAGCCACAGGTTTGAAGAAAAGTGACAAGGAACAGGAGCGCAACTCCAAATATAGGCAGTACGGTTTCATCAAATGTACTGTACATTTATTTAATACATTTGCGTATTGTATCTTTGGATATTTTTCAACTAGTTGTGCCTCGTGTTTTGTATTCTGCTAAGATTCATGAATCTGTTCCTTTAGGCACAGACGGCACACATTGTCCTGGAAGATGGAACAAAGATGAAAGGCTACTCCTTTGGCCATCCATCCTCTGTTGCTGGTGAAGTGGTTTTTAATACTGGCCTAGCAGGGTGAGTAATGCTCGTGTGCCAAGGTTTTATTCTTCCTTTATGCAGAGGAATAACGAGATGATCTTACTCATGGTGGTAGGTTGAAATCATCACATTATGCTAAGATGGCACATTGTCCTGACATCACACTGAGCCTGTATGTTGTCTAGTCTAGCCATGCCGGAAAGAAGGCAGGGACACAAACTCCTCCCTGCTGCTGTAAATGAAAGAGAACACGGACCCTGGTATTACCCTGGAAATAAGGAATACAAGTAATTCTAGAAAACTAGGTCCGAGGTGACAGGTTCTGTTAGATTAGTAAGTGGCTTCTGCAAGGAAAGGTATGGAGCAAGGAGAAGGATGGGCATCTCATTCCTTCAGTGAAGTTAAGAGTCAGATTTGCACATCTAATATGAACTACTGTAAGGAGCTGAGACCGTTCTTAGATATTCTATGTAAATTCACACTGTAATAAGAAAGGCGAAATAACAGGTACATTTATTTTCTTGAAGCAATCAAAAGGAGAGCAGGTTCATGGATCTGACATTTTCAAAACTGTCAACTGAAACCCAACTTGGTATTTAAGATCTGCTAATAGATACACAGCAACAAAGATAAGAGCTGCTACAGAAATCACGTAGCTGTTCTTATCTAGCCAACAAATATTTGTTCATCTGGGAACCAGGAGACTGAAGTTCTGGTCTAAACTTCAATGACAACTGGTTATACAATATTGAGAAAATCCCTTAACCTTTCTGAATCATAGTTTCCACATACAAAAATGAGGATGCTGGATTAGATAGTAATTTATAGTTGGGATTAAAAAAAAAAAACATGAGTTCTTTAAAAAATATGACCGGATGGTTTCAAGAGGTTTCCATTAGAGACTCGGTGGACTAAACTTCTATAGCATAGAATATTTAATACATTCTTTGGGAAAATTCAGTTAACCTTATAAAGACACGGACACATTGAGTTAATGGATATTGAGATTATCCACTGGCCAAACTTCCATTATACTATTAACATATATTCTTCTCTAAACTCTTGGCTCTCCGTTTGAAATAAAGAATATTAGATGGGTTTTAAAATAGTTCCACTGGTGAGAACATTAAATTACAGTGTATGAAAGCTGTTTGCAAAGTTTTGCTTCACCAGGCAATTATTTAAGCTTTTCGACAGCACTAATTACTAGCTGTGTTAATATACCTGCCAACAGACAACTGTTTAATATAGATCAGAATGATGGAGGGCACTAGAGTTTTCTTCTCTGTGATAGATTATGGGTAATAAATCTTGTCACATCACAAAAGTCAAACAGTACCTGATGGATTAATTTGCTTCTAATGCTGCAGTTCTCTACGACAAGCTGTATTTATTCATTTACTGGAGAGAGTATTGTAAGTATATGTTTAAAGGGAATGGCCAGTTCTTTTATGGAGAGAAAGAAGAAAGGGAAGTAAAATTAAATTAATTAAAGATGTTTCTGATGTAAGAAAAGGCATTCATTAGTAGATTAGTCCACGGACCCTATTTTCCATTGAGAACTGTTGTTTTCATTCATTGTGTGGCACACTCAGTAAGGTGGTTGGTAATTAAAGGTGTTATTTTGTTTTTCATCTTCAAGAAATGCATTTTTATTGTGTGTAAGCCTTGGTTAAAAAATTGGCAGTTCCTGACAGGTGAAAGGCATCTGAGAAATTAGCTGATGGAGGTGTGGATAAGTATGAGAGAGCACCTAGTCACCTAAGGGTTTGCTGAGCTGAAAGACTAAGTGTTCTATTGACAAAAGTAGTTCTGGGAGGAGCTTGTCTGGATGGGGTTGAAGAATTTATGTTGACTACTTCCTGTGTTGAACTGTATTGGTTTCAAGGTTGTTGATTCTGTCCCCCTTAGCACTTACATTCATTTTCACTAATAATCTACAAGAAAGATTTGGTTTAGCTCATTCTACAGAAAGTGAAAATGCGAGAAGGGGGCCACACTTGCAATAGATTCCAGTGCATGGAATAGTTATAGATAACACCTGGTATTTACTGGAATAATGTTTCTTACTACTAAGAATAAGAGTGATATATATGCATATATATATGTATATATATATAATAAAAATGAGAGTATATGTGTTTTTATTTATTATTTTGAGAGAGAGACATAGAGCAGGGGAGGGGCAGAGAGAGAGAGGGAGACACAGAGTCCAAAGCAGGCTCCAGGCTCTGAGCTGTCGGCACAGAGCCCAACGTGGGGCCCGGACCCACAAACCGTGAGATCACGGCCTGAGCTGAAGTCAGACGCTTAACCGACTGAGCCACCCAGGCGCCCCTAGAATTTATGTGTTTTTAATTTTCAAATAAAGACCTAATGCATTCCTCCCTAATCCCACATCAGTACTTTAAATTAGTTGTTTGGAGTCTTTTGATTTAGAAGTCAGAAGTGCTTGAGGTCAATTTTTGTGGGGTTGATTTTCTTTTCTAAGTTGATAATAACTCCAAGTTATATACCTTTTTCTAAAGCTATGTTAAAAATCAACTTCATTGAGTAATTCTTTCATAGAATACATGTAATCTTTTTTTTCCCTTTTTCCGGACTTTAAAATAAAAACCTACTACATTTATGTTATTAATTCTGGTATAGATATTAATTCATTCATTTTAAATGTTCAGTGAATTTTAATAAACATATATACCCATGCAGCCACCATTGATGTAATAAGGATTCTCTTCAGTTTCCTAAATGATATTTTTTAAAAAACTTAAAAATATTTGACAGTTAATATTTTGGTGATATTGGCCCTAACAGTAAATATTAGTTTGGACTCATGTCTGGTAGACAAGTGGAAACTTCAGGATATCTGCAAACTTTAAATAGAACAATATTTAAAAAATGAAGACTCTATGGGGCGTCTGGGTGGCTCAGTCGGGTAAATGTCTGACTCTTGGTTTCGACTCAGGTCATGATCTCACCATTCGTGAGTTCGAGCCCTACGTGGGGCTCTGCACTGACAGTGTGGAACCTGCTTGGATTTCTTTCTCTCTCTCTGCCCCTTCTCTGCTTGTGTGCATGCACTCTCTCTCTCTCTCTCTCTCTCAAATAAATAAACTTAAAAAAAATATTAAAAAACAATGAAGACCCTGTGAAGGAAATTGTAAGGAATTAAAAATTTTAAGAAATTGAGGGAATGAAAATTATGAGAATATGTCTTAGTACTTAAGAGTCCATTTGTTTTAAAAGCAGAATCAGACCCACAAGTACAGAGAACAAACTATACGGTTGCCAGAAAGAGGGGTGGGGGAAGGGCAAAATGGGTAAAGGAGAGTGGAAAGTATAGGCTTCCAGTTATAGAATAAATAAGCCACAGGAATAAAGGGTACCACACAGGGAATATGGTCAGTGATACCGTAATAGCCTTGTGTCATGACAGATGGTAGCTACACTTGTGAGCAGAGCATAACACATAGAGACGCTGAATTACTATGTTGTAGGCCTACAATTAATGCAACACTGTTTGTCAACTGTACTCAAATGAAAAAAAAAAAAAGAATCAGTTTGTCTTTTCATATCAGTCATATCATGGGATACATTTTCATCTTCTAGATTTTCTAAAATCTAGAAGCAGGTTTACAGGATTTTAATCTCATGTTCTGTCATTTTCAAGGGTTCAATAGTTAAGAGCATGTGTGTATGTTGTAGTTTTGTAGTTACGTGCATTTTTTTGTTGGTAATTTTTTGACGTGTTTACTCAGGTACCCAGAAGCCCTTACTGACCCTGCCTACAAGGGACAGATTCTCACCATGGCCAATCCCATTATTGGGAATGGTGGAGCCCCTGACACTACTGCCCTGGATGAACTGGGACTCAGCAAATATTTGGAGTCTGATGGAATTAAGGTAGTGCCAGCGACGACTATTTAAAGTCTCCATCTGGGGTGTCTGCCTGGCTCGGTCGCTAGAGCATGCAACTCTTGATCTCAGGGTCGTGAGTTTGAGCCCCATGTTGGATGTGGAGTCTACTCTAAAAAAAACAAGAAGTCTTGGGGCGCCTGAGTGGCTCAATAGGTTGAGCATCTGACTTCAGCTCAGGTCATGATCTCACAGTTTGTGAGTTCAAGCCCCGCGTCAGGCTCTGTGCTGACAGCTTGGAGTCGAGCCTGTTTCAGATTCTGTGTTTCCCTCTCTCTTTGTCCCTCCCCTGCTCACTTTCACTCTGTCTCTCTCAAAAATAAATAAACATAAGGGGCACCCGGGTGGCTCAGTCGGTTAAGCGTCCGACTTCGGCTCAGGTCGTGATCTCATGGTCTGTGAGTTCGAGCCCCGCGTCGGGCTCTGTGCTGACATCTTAGAGCCTGGAGCCTGCTTCAGATTCTGTGTCTCCCTCTCTCTCTGCCCCTCCCCCACTCATGCTCTGTCTCTCTCTGTCTCAGAAATAAATAAACATTTAAAAATATAAATAAAATAAGTAAATAAACATAAAAAAAGAAGAAGTCTCAACTGAAGGGGGGATAGTTGATTTATTTTTAAGAATCTAGGGTGGGCAAAGTTTCTCTCTAATACTGTAGTACAAACCATTAAATTCATGTTCTCAACCTTATTCCTATGTATATGAGAATAATTTTTAACATAACATTATTTTGAATTTCATTTTTCATGACATTTTGCATTTGTTCTTAATGCCTTGGATGAAACTTGGCTTAATTTGGAAAGATGTTGTTATGAGTCTAAATGACAACTATGCTGCAAGAAATAGTGATGAATTACCCTTTAAAAGATCCTTGGTAATCAACTCTGTATCAACTATTTGCCTTTTAATCTTATCTTATTTAGAGGATGAATAAAACATAACTTGTATGCCATTTTAAAAGTAAACACATTAAGATTTCCTAATCAAAATAAATTTGGATAATATTAGGAATGTGGACCATATAAACAATTAAAAAACGTGTACTCCAAATTAATCACTCTATGTTTTCATTCTTTTTTGTTTTTTTTACCACTCTATTTTTGAATGACTTGGACTGATCATTTAGATTAATTCTATTTCTCACAATTTTCCCCATATTTCTCAGTCTCCTTTAAATGTAGCCAAAAATTACTTATTCTTCATGTACATTAAACAAATGATTATTAACTAGATTATTGACAAATTCCATGGAGAAAAGGTACCAGGGTGCTGAGAAGTCGGGGACAGGAGTTAGCAACTGGTCTAAGACTTTTCCTCAACATGGTAATTAAGGCAACAGTGATGTATTTTAAGAGAAAAATGTTGATCCTGTTCCTTTTCCTTCAAGTCCCAAGGATTTTAAGGCTTGTATCAATGGATATAATAAACCTTTTTAAAAAAATGCAAACTGACTGTTATGACAAGTCACAAGAATTGTGTAATATTTCGTGGTCACACCTTTCAAACAACTCTGTTTCTAGGTTGCAGGTTTGCTGGTTCTGAACTATAGCAATGACTACCACCACTGGCTGGCTAACAAGAGTCTTGGGCAGTGGCTACAAGAAGAAAAGGTGAGAAATACGCAGGCTGCACTGCCTGGACTAATTCTCTCTCTCTCTCTCTCTCTCTCTCTCTCTCTCTCTCTCGGACCAATTCTCTTCTAAACCCTGAGGACCACATATTTTTAGTGTAATCCACTAGGTGGCACATGCTTGGTAGCACTTCTCTTTGAGGAAAGGGGCTAGAGAAAATTTTAGAATTTTCTATATTCTTGAGCCACTTAATTTTCCCATCCCCTTTTACCCAGGACCACGGTATGTATTTCTGTAATGGCTTTTAGTACCAGCCTTACCATCAACTAGCTGTGTGATTTTGTGCAGGTCGTGTAACCATACCACACTTTCTAAATCTTTAACTCTTATGAGAGCATAAACAGATTGCTATTAAGTTTCTTTTAGCTTAAACGTTGTGCCTCTATGACGCATAATTAGATATAATCTTATTTGAAGTAGTACGTGAAAAGGGCTAAAAACGTTATCTTATACTTTCCTTAGTTTAAGTATTATTTTGTAATAAAGTAACAGGATTCTCCTGGTTTGAATGTCAGATGTACTTAAAGTTAAGGGACCCGCTATATTTGGCTTCATCTCCAGCATTGCTGGAGCTGCTTTTTGTTGGATTGGTGCGGGGCCCGTAACTGGCAGAATATGATTCCGAGAAAGCTCTGCCACGCCAATGAGCATCTGTGTATTGGGGCTAAATGTTGCTCTTTTCTGAGAAATCAAGAAATCTTAATTTTGGCTTCCTGGGTCTCATTCTTTCTAGATTTTGAAAGGGAGAAGAAGGCATTTATGTCATCCCCTGAATTACTACTATTTTATTCTCAACCATTATCTGAATTTACTTCCCTTACCCAGACAACTAATTTTTGTAATGGTCATTGAGGAGACCCTCGCTCTAGTGTTTCCTTTGTGTCATTAGGGAACTGACATGACAGCTGCTCTGCGTAAGAACTAACAGTTTGAGGAAGAACTTAATTCATGACTTGTTAGTTTGTTTTTAAAATGTGCTTGGAATAGGGGCGCCTGGGTGACTCAGCTGGTTAAGCCTCCGACCCTTAATTTTGGCTCAGGTCAAGATCTCAAAGTTGGTGAGATCTTGCCCTTTGTGGGGCTATGTACTGACAGCATAGGGCATGCTTGGGATTCTCTCTTCCCCTTTCTCTCTGCCCCTCTCTCAAAGTAAATAAATATACATTAAAAAATTTTTAAAAAACGCACTTTGAATAGAGTAGAAGAGGGTCTAAGAGAGTAATCAGTTCACCTCCTTCTATGTATGTACAGGTGAGGAAAAACATGTTGCTCAAACATCACTGAAATAAATGGTGGAAGAAAAGAAATTAGAACTTATTTTTCGGATTCCTAACTCATCGCCCTTTTATTTTACCATATCTGTCTCTATCCAAACTACTCAAAGAAAAGAAAACAAATGGTGGTATTGCCTGATTTCCTAATAGGATGGGCAAACTTATTACATCCTGATTACTTAGCAAGCACCTTCAGAAAAATGTGTTGAGTGTCTAGTAGGTAGTAGGAACATTTGGCTCAAAACATGGATTTGCATGTATTTACATAAGATTGCTTCTGCAGTTCACAAATCCATTATTTATCTATATAAATACATGTAATAATATAAATATATAACATTGCCTCTTTAACATCTTGTGTTAAAAGAAACGAAACTATAGCAGAAGATTGATGTTCAGAATTTCTCTTTTTTTATTCTGTGGAAGGTCCTGGGTATTCAGAGTCCTGTTCCCAACTGGAACAGCAATTTACCGTGTTCTGACAACACAGTCACCCTGGGTCAGAGTAAAGAAGGAGTAGGGAAATTATTTACTGCTCAAGAAGATAGATGATGCTAAGTTTGTAACTTGAAAACAATATGCTGGATCTTATTTCCTCCAATTTCACTGTCACTACAAATTTTCTTTCTTATAGGTCCCTGCAATTTATGGAGTGGATACAAGAATGCTGACTAAAATAATTCGGGATAAGGTATGATCATCATCTTTAGCCAACCCTATGTTTCTTTATATGTGTATATATAATTCTTTATATATGTGTATGTATATTTATATATACATATATAATTTATATATATAAATTAAAAATAGTATATATACTATACTCTCTCTCTATAGACTTAAATATTATATTTTTTTCTCAGTGCTCAGGGAATCCAACAGTATGAAAGAGCAAATCTGGCCAATTTTTGTCATTTGGTCCTCTGTCATTTTGTTTTACTATTTCTAATGTAATTTTTCAGACTTAATACTTGATTGGGATGTTTGTTGCTGAATGGATTTGAGATTAATTCACTTGGCAGCAGGATATTGACTGCCCACTGGGTGTTCACTATCCCAGTGAGTCAAGGCCTTTATAAGTCAGCTCATGTGACAGTGAGACCAGTGGAGGAGGTAACCAGGTGCATAATAATTTTGCCTCAGTTGAATGCTGGCATGCTGAAAGATGTAAACTAGAAAGTGTGCAACACTTTTCCTGTTATTTGTTCGGTTTCCTTGGAGTGGTTATCTGTGAAATTAGTGAGTTCTATTTCATAAGTGTGTCCAATGAGCCCTGTATACGTTACCTCAATTATATACTCTTTCTTAAGACTGTTCAAAAGACCAAGGTGATAAAAGGTAAGTTTAACTTCTAGTTGGCACATCTCATAGCTGAAATATCTGACCCCTCCTTTGACAATATCTCATCACCATCTGCTTGCTTTTTCTTGTTGTAAGAGGAGGGCACTATTTTTTTTTCATACACAAAATCTTCACATCCCAAAACACAAAGACACTTTACTTCACTACCATGTACTAAATTCCCCAAATGCCACTGAATTTTTTTTCATTGAATTGTATTACATAAAAAAGAAAAAATAATAAATGATACATCTGCAAAGTGAAATGGATTCTTCAAGCAAATCTGTTGCAGACTCCCTGTTAGAAAGTATATTGACATAGGATCTCTGTACACAGAAAGAACAGCTTTCTGAAAACAGCTTTTTGTAAATAAGGCACACCACATACCCGTGACTAGAAGGAGGACAGTGAGAGTTTACAATATCCTGTCCCTCACCTCTGCTTTTACTTCCTCCTTCATAATTTTCCTGAGAATAGATGTTAATGAGATTGTACATCCCAAGTTGATTCTTGTGTTTTCTTAGCCCAGTGGTATTGTGAGAGCAGTAAACAGTGGTAAGGCTACTTGAATTGGAAGGGAATAAAATTGGGGAATTCAATTTGGGCTGCAGAATCAGCGGGTGAATAAAAATATAGTCAAGCCTAATGATTTGGAAAAATGCTTTACAAGACTATATTGTACTCGTCGTGTGGTATGTTGGCTTAAGATGAACCCTCTTTTATCACAGGTGGTTACGTTCTCAAAATTCGGCTGAATAGTGGCACCTGGGTGGCTCAGTCAGTTAAGTGTCTGACTCTCGACTCTTGATTTTTGGCTCAGGTCGTGATCTCTTAGTTCCTGAGCGGGAGACCCATGGGATTCTCTGTCTCCCTCTCTCTGCCCCTCCTCCACGCACACACTCCTCTCTCAGAAATAAATAAACATTAAAAAAATAGGCTGAATGGATTAGCACAGGTAAAATAGTAGTATTGCCTCTTATATTTGACTATGTTGGTTATATTTGACTATGTTGGTTCATATTAAAAATGTATATTTTGTGACTTTCTGTTCTGTTAATCTTAGGTTGAAAGGTAAGATTGTATTTCATTCAGCATGCTTTAAAAAAAGAAGGAATGAGAACTGAAAACCACATTTCAAAATTAGGGATCCATAAACATGGTCAAGGAATTCTGTGATTTGGATGATAAGAGTAAATAGAGACCATCATGAAATGTAATAATCCAGCGTGGAAGTGAAAAGTGGTTTATAGTTCTTTTTCCCAGAGTGTGAGGTAGCACTCCAGTCTAATAATCACATCGAAATAACCATCATGTTTGAATGATGTGCTGGTACATTCTACCCTCACTCATTCCCAAGTGACTACTTCTTCCCTTAAGGAATACATTTCAAAAGGAAACAAAAGCTTCTTTCTCTTTCCTTCAATGCAGTAATTTCTTGGAGAAAGGCAAATCAATGAATTATTTTGACTCCCTCCCACCCCTAATAAAGTCTTGATTACTAAATGTAATATGCCATTTTTCTAAATAGAAAAAAACTAGACTTACTAATAAGTAAATCTCAAGACATTGCTAATAATAAGAAAACATTTGCCATCTTCAGCTAGCAAGGCTAATTTGTGAAAACTTCAGAGAGGTCTAAACATTCTTTAAAGTTCAGGTCCTTAAGGACACCTGGACATTTACATATCTAAAGCAGTGAATATTTTCAATGCTTCTTCTCAAAATTGATGACTTACTTGGCATTTCATCTTTCTTTCTTTCTTTCTTTTAAAATTTTTTTTTAATGTTTATTTATTTTTGAGACAGAGGGAGACAGAGCACAAGTGGGGGAGGGGCAGAGAGAGAGGGAGACACAGAATCTGAAGCAGGTTCCAGGCTTTGAGCTGTCAGCACAGAGCCTGATGTGGGCCGAGCCCATGAACCATGAGATCATGACCTGAGCTGAAGTCGGACACCCAACCGACTGAGCCACCCAGGCACCTCTTTCTTCTTTCTTTCTTTCTTTCTTTCTTTCTTTCTTTCTTTCTTTCTTTCTTTCTTTCTTTCTTTCTCTCTTTCTTTCTCTTCTTTCAAGTTATCTCTATACCCAATGTGGGGCTCAAACTCATAACCCCGAGATCGAGTCACATGCTTTACTGACTGAACCAGCCAGGTGCCGCATTTCACATCTTTTTGTGAATGAATTTTACTATCATAATGTAATTAATTCTCATTCTTTTCTATTTTCTACAATTTTTAGATTTCTTATTTTCTTCTCAATAGATTGTTTTGTCCATGTCTCCCATGAACTATCTTTAGGTCATATGCACTAAGGGAATAGGTAGCCTAAATAATTTAATTGGCACCAGTCTGGAGCTTGGAGGCCTGAATTCTGATGCCTTTTGATCTTGCTTACTCCAGGTCACAATCTCAGCCCTGAAAAAATGAATTGTACTTCCCAGAGCATTTCTCAAAATGTACCATGCATCTTTCCAGGTTGAGAAGATGAGGATCTTCTTTCTGCTGATGGTTTTGAGTAGTTATAAAGACATTTAGATCTTGGAGCTGCTGTGTAGGTCCCTGTGAATGGATCCTGTTAGCACCTTGACTGTTGCTCCCTTTTAACTGTCTAATTTTTTGATTTGACAGGGTACCATGCTCGGGAAGATTGAATTTGAAGGTCAGTCTGTGGATTTCGTGGATCCAAATAAGCAGAATTTGATCGCTGAGGTTTCAACCAAGGTGAGAGATTTCCCTTCACATTTTGTAGTTTTATTTCTTGTAATATCAAAATTTTCACTGAGGCAGAGGTCATCTTCCTGAAGCACCAGAGTTGAGGGAAAAAAGGATCTCATAGCATCTGAAATGTACAAGTCATTCCGTTTAAAGTTAGTAACTTTTTGGGGCGCCTGGGTGGCTCAGTCGGTTAAGCATCCGACTTCAGCTCAGGTCACGATCTCAGGGTCCGTGAGTTCGTGCCCCGCGTCGGGCTCTGGGCTGATGGCTCAGAGCCTGGAGCCTGCTTCCGATTCTGTCTCCCTCTCTCTCTGCCCCTCCCCCGTTCATGCTCTGTCTCTCCCTGTCTCAAAAATAAATAAACGTTAAAACAAAAATTTAAAGTTAGTAACTTTTACTTGCATTGATCTAGCATCAATCAGAATGGCTATGGAGAACAACATTTCATGAAGAATTCCAGCTGTGAGGACTTAGGTCCACCAGGTTCTTTTTTTCTTTTTTTTCTTTTTTTTAATGTTTATTTATTTTTGAGAGAGAGAGAGAAAGAAAGAGAACGAGTGAGGGAGGTGTAGAGAGAGAGGGAGACACAAAATCCAAAGCAGGCTCCAGACTCTGAGCTGTCAGCACTGAGCCCGACTCACTGCTCAAACTCATGAACCATGAGATCATGACCTGAGCCAAAGCTGGACACTTAACCAACTGAGCCACCCAGGTGCCCCCACCAGGGCCTTTTCTTAAGAAAATGTTATTAAAGGACTGAAAATTGCCTGATTAATAGCATGTCAGCCTCAGAGAAAACACATGTTGATATTATCTGGTATTCCTGTTCCTATTTCTATTCACATGGAAATGGGAGACAAGGATTAGAGGTCCCAGACAATCAGTAGTGAGCCTTGATGTTGGGCTCAGACATGCATTCACAGGATGCTGAAGCATAAGAGAGATGAGTTGTTAAAGACAGTGAATTTTAAATTATATGTAATTGTTTATATATTTGAAATTTGATCATGCCATATGCAGTAATGTCTTGTTTTTAATTCCAAAATTTGTCCATTCAAATGGCATGGAACTATTTTTCTGTATTTTTTTCTAGACATTTCCCTGTGAAGTGATTTGGTCTGAGACACAGCATGAAAAAGTGCTGTTTTTCCTTTTAGAATTGAGAGCTACCTTGGGGATCTAGTGTAGGATTTTCCACATGTGAGAAATGTTGACCTAGAGAAATTCACCTTAAAAAAATTCTGTGGTAATGAGGTTAAAAACGCTGCATAACATATTCCTCTCTTCAAGAGTCATAATACAAATTCATATATTCATGTGTCTGTGAATTCTTGCTTAAAACTGCTGTCATTCTGTATGAAGAGCGTATAATGTATTTGTGTAGAGACTAGAAAAAAGGAACCTACCTGTATTTTTATAAACATCATATGAAGAGAGAGATTGCAATGGTGAAAACTGGCCCTGTTTCTTGATGCTTGGTGCAATTAAATAATTTCATTGTAACTGTGATAAAATGCATATTTGTATCAGACTATATTCTATGAGTTTTATTTGGATATGGTTGATAACTTAATTCATTGTCTTGTAATTGCAATTTGATGTAGCTACAACTAGATGGTAATATTGCTTTATTTTGTAGCAGAAGCCTAAGGTTAAAAATAAGTATATGCTTTTTCAAATTATGTGATGAGAGAGATTATCTGTAGCATTTATAGATCAGCTCAGCAATAATTTCTGCAGATCATGGAAAGAATGGGGTATTTTTTCTTTAGGATAGTTAGCTAAAGAAAAAATGTGACAAACTTTATATATATTTTTTCAAGTACAGTCTAAGGATTGTCATTTGCCATTCTATAGCGTGTGTGGAGAGTGGAGAGTAGAGAGTAGATATTTCAGTTAAAGTAAAATACTCTTTCAAATATCCAGGTTGCAACTTTTATCTAAAACTTTTTGGAAACATTGAAATCATCCTAAATTCAGAATATACTAGCTAATTCTCAAAGCTGAAATCCGTGTGGGCACCCAGTCCTCTAGGCTTTCTGTTACTATTATTTCTCCTTTTATGACTTTGGGGAACTGATTCTTGGGTAAATGCCTGTGAAAATGGGTCTGACTCCAAGCAGTGCTTAAGATGTAGGTAATGATTATCATATGCTTGGGGATCCTTTTATGAAGCCTATCATTTCAATGCGGATAAATGCATAGTAACCTAAAGAGACCAGTGGTCTACACTAGCTTAGCAATCATCCGATTCTCATCCTGATTTTATCCATTAGCCCCACTGCATAAGCCTAATGCACAACAGCTCTACCCCATCCAGCCTTTATTACAAGTTGAAGATCAAGTGGTATTTAAAGCATGATGTATCTATTACCGCATCTGCCTAGTGCTGAATCAGGCAGTAATACTTGAAAATTCCGTTGCCACTGGTTGTTAATGAGGCAAATCATGGGAGAGATTATTGTTAACTATGGAAGCAACCAATTTCTCAGGGACCATCCTTATTACTGTAATCTACATTTTATGTAAAACAGCAAAGTACCCTTTGCTTCATAAGAAAAGGTGCAGTCTGTGGCACTTGCTGTGCCTTTTTTCTACATTGATTGTTAACTGCCAGTCACTCCCTAGTAGTCAGCAATCACCCTGTTACCAATGTAAGTGCTAAGCATCTTCAGGTGTTATGATATGATGTGTTTATGATATTGGTGTGCTGCTCACAGCTAGACCTTCCCTCTCACTCTCTGCGTTTTCAAATGGCAGGATGTCAAGGTGTATGGCAAAGGAAACCCCACAAAAGTGGTAGCTGTAGACTGTGGCATTAAAAACAATGTAATTCGCCTTCTAGTAAAGGTAAGTAATTTGTTGCATCTCGAGGGTGAGGATTTGTAATATGGATCTTTTTAGTGTGAAACTGATTTCCTTTTTCTGTTTCAGAGAAAGCTAATGTGTTCTCTCAGAATGTCAGGGGATCCGTTCTCTTTTTGCTCCCTTTGATCTACAAAATAAAATTTATTCCTGTTAAAATTAGAGATGTGGAGTGTGTTTTTAAAAAATCTTTAAAGGCCACAAACAGAAGAGTGATGACTTCTTATCACTTATTGACTGACATTCTGAGACATGCCATGCTTATTTTCTTTGAGTTTAGAGATGACCAAAAATTGAGAGTCAGTTGGAGAACTCCTCCATTGGAGTACAATTATTATGTGACAAATGTTTTCAGGGATCATGCCCTGATAGAGTACAAACTTTCACATTGCTTCATATAAACTCTTAGGCAACCAATTAAAATTAAACCTTAAAAATTCTGCAGGAGAATGTAACCATTATAATGTTTCCTTAAATACTGTTTTGTTGGGATTTCTCCTTATCCCACTTCTCCATCTCTCTCCCTACCTATGTCTTTCTGTTTCTGTTCCTCTCTCTCTCTCTCTCTCATATGCGCACATACACAGATATTTCCATAATACCAAAATCGTTGTGAGTACAGAGGAATTCTTCAATTCACCTTCTCTTCGTTCGAGAGTATCAGCCAAATGATCTAAATCATGATTTTAAATTCTGGCCCATTTTATTAATAAAAACTTGCATGGACTCTTCAGTAGCAGATGCTGTCGATGGCCTATCTGTATCTCTTTCTCGTTTCACCATTATAGGGCATTTAGCCCATTCTCCAGTTGCAAAGGCCTGCACTTCATTGCTTGAGGGCTCTCTTTAGTTGGTTGGAGCCTATTGACTGGCAGGAAATACTATAGAATTAATGATCCCTGGAGCACCCCCTACCTAAAGTCAAGAGAAGTTGAGTGTGTAACTATCTCAACTCTGACCCCATGACTGAACTATCCTGAGAGTGGATTGTCTACACACTCAGAGTTCCTCAGTGGACTGAAGCTCTAGGTGTTTATAGAACTTGATAATGCATAATTTATTGGCGTGTGTCACAGTGTCACTTCTTAGAAACCCATCCAAATAAACTTCTTTTTCTCAAATTCTTGTCTCAGGAAATGTTTCTAGGGAAACCATCAAAGATGTCTTCCTACCCACTTCTATATACAAAAGTTCTAATTATTCAATGACAATACATATACTACAGATAATATGAGAAAACGCTAGGAAAGAAGGCTGCTAAAAAATTTGGTCAGGTAAAAAAAGCAAAATTGAAAAAGATGAGAGGTAGACTAGCATAATTTTGCAGAAAATGGATTTCTCTCTCTCTTTTTTTAAAATAACTCTCTACCACAGCTTGTGAAAATAATATTCCTGGGTGCCCAGTCAGGAATTTTTTTAGGCCCTGAAACCTCCTGAAATATGGGAAAGTACATTATTTTTTTCAGGATCAAAACTTTAAACATGTATTTTCTTCACTTTCTGTTGACCACTGGCTCCATCTATATTATACAAAATACAGTGAGCCACCAAAGAATTTTTCACTCAGCATTATTCGTTTGAATCATGTACTCTTTTTCCCCATTAGGGAGTGGTTAATCAAGAGAAGGTCTAGGCAAAATTCTACTTTGGCAAAGAAAAATGTTATCAAATTGATTATTTTTGCATTTCTTTTCTAGCGAGGAGCAGAAGTGCATTTAGTTCCCTGGAATCATGATTTCACCAACATGGAGTATGATGGGCTTTTAATTGCCGGAGGACCCGGGAACCCAGCTCTTGCACAACCACTAATTCAGAATGTCAAAAAGGTACAATGCTCCTGGGGGTAGTGTGTATCTGTGTGTGAGGTGGAGGGACTCTGCTATGTAACTGTCACAAAGGCTGTAATATATTTTAGGTATTCCCATATTCTTTTCCACTCCTGTCTATGACCTCTGAGGCAGTGTCAGCAGACACGGTATGGGAGGAGAGAGTACCAGAGGCAAAAGGAACCTTTCTTTAGGCAAAGTAACTGGGATTGTGTCCTCGATTCAAGAGAGCAGGAGTCCAACCTCCAAATGTGTCTCTCTGTACAGTCGTAAAATGACAATTCACATTTCTCACCATGACTTTGGTACCTACAACACCTTCAGGTTTCTAAAGAAACATTAAATTTTGTTTAGTTTATTAAGTACATTTTATTGAATTCTAATGCTACAAATTTGTCAGTCATGTTTTTTTTTTTAATTTTTTTAACGTTTTCTTTATTTTTGAGACAGAGAGAGACGGAGCATGAATGGGGGAGGGGCAGAGAGAGAGGGAGACACAGAATCAGAAGCAGGCTCCAGGCTCTGAGCCATCAGCTCAGAGCCCGACGCGGGGCTCAAACTCACGGACTGAGAGATTGTGACTTGAGCCGAAGTCGGACGCTTTACCGACTGAGCCACCCAGGCGCCTCTCATGCTCTTATTTATAACTTTTTTTAAGTTTATTTATTTATTTTGAGAGAGTACACACACATGAGAGGGAGATGGGCAGAGAGAGAGAGGGAGAGAGAATATCCCAAGCAGGTTCTGCACTGTCAGCACAGGGGCTCCATCTCACTACCGTGAGCTCATGATCTGAGCCAAAATCAAGGGTCGGATGCCCGACCGACTGAGCCACCTCGGTGCCCCTATAGCCTTAACTTTTTATTCAATTCCTATTTTCTTGTTAATTAAGAAAAAAAAGGATGCTTCATTTTTATTCCTTCAGAGGCAGCATTTTGGGGGGGGGTGGTGCGGGGACTGTACTCTAGTTCATAAAAATTCTCCCTGTATTAGGTTTTGGAGAGTGATCGTAAGGAGCCATTGTTTGGAATCAGTACAGGAAATTTAATAACAGGATTGGCTGCTGGTGCTAAAACCTACAAGATGTCCATGGCCAACAGGTGAGATAGTTATGCTTCTGTTTACAGGTCAAACTGGATCTGCAATGGTGTCAATAACTAAACGCAAAAGACTACATGCCATTTTCTTTAGAAAAAACAGATAACTGTACTATTACATGGTTCACAGTTGTCTGACTACCCGATACCACTTTTATTACATTTTTGAAAGGCAGCCTTCTCTAACAATAACGTTGCTGTCGTTTAAAGTTATTTTCCTTCCCTTGGCATAAATTGAGGTTGTAATATCAAATGACATTATCAAATGATAGAATATCAAATGATATTCTAAGGGAAACTGTTCTGGTTTCTAACATTGTAGGACTCTAGTGTGACTTAAGAACCGGGAAGTCTTCAATCCTCTTGGTTTTACTTCTGACCCCACATGATGCCAATTTATTTAATATGGAGCTTTCCTCCATGGCCCCCCCTCTGCATGAAGTGTAACTCAGAATAATTCAGGACAGAGTCATCTCTTTATTATTTCCCCCACACTCTCTGGCTTTAAAATTACCTAGCTCCCTTAAAATAAATCACTTATATTTGTCTCTCTGTTAAGCTAGTGAGCAATTCTTAACTTTTTGTTATGAGTGCAGTTCTCCCTTTTCTAAAATTGTACAAGTTTAATAGACCTGCTATTTAACACACAGCAAAGCTTCCTGAATTGATTTTTGTTGCTAAAATTATTGGGATTAACAATCTGTGACTTTTCTCACAGAGTAATTTTCACTAAGCAATTGAAACTTTCACATTTTAATAGGCTTTACTTGTTCACTGTTTTACAACAAATGTATTTATATTCTTCTCTTCACTTTTCCTTTTCCTTATTCTTTCTCCCCTTTTCCCTCCAGAGGGCAGAATCAGCCTGTTTTGAATATCACAAACAGACAGGCTTTCATTACTGCTCAGAATCATGGCTATGCCCTGGACAACACCCTTCCTGCTGGCTGGAAACCACTTTTTGTGAATGTCAACGATCAAACCAATGAGGTAGGGCCCTCAATAAACCTGTTCAGTTGGCAATGAGTAATGCTGGGCTTTTAATACTCTGTTATACACATACCTTGTTTATGTGGGCTTTTTTTGATGTGTGTGTGTGTATAAGAACTCCTCTTATAGGTTATTTCCCATGGCCCTCTGCTTTTTAAAAAGTCATTTCTGTCTTATTCTCTCATCAGTTGACTCATTAAGATCCACTCTTTGAGTGGTTAATCAGTGACTGTCTTTCACATCGATTGCTAATGGGCATTTGGTGGAGATCTGTTTGGACCTAGTCCATATAGGTCTCTGGGACTCACTTAGCTCTGAAGTAGCCTTTGAGAAGACCCTTGGAGAAGTAATTTAGGAGTTGGAGATAAGAAGATTTGAGTTTATTCTGAGACCCTGGGGAGGAGGGCCCAAAGGCTATAGACCAAATCAGTTGTTTTTATTGAGGGGACCACATTTGGTTGAGTCTTGTTGGCCTGTTTTTATTATGGCTGTTAGCTGCTAGAATGTCTTTAAGCATTTAACTTAGTGTTTTTATTTGGACTTTATTGTCCGCTAAGTAGTACACAGTCCTGGCTAACATTCATGGTTACAGAAGGAATTTCTTCCTATTTCTTATTCCTTTAGGGGATTATGCATGAAAGCAAACCCTTCTTTGGTGTGCAGTTCCACCCAGAGGTCAGCCCAGGCCCAACAGACACTGAGGTATGTCAGAAAATAAGACCTATTGTACACTTAGTCTTTTTTAAAATCAGAAATGTATTAATGTGAAAACTTGGGAAACAAAAATAGTCAGCCCAGATGATCTTGGGTAAGAATATTTTCAAGAAGAATACTTTGATAACACACACATTGTATTAAAATTTCCCCATGAATATCATGGAGGAAATTTCTATCTTCTTTAAAATTTAAAGTGGGAAAACCCTTACGAAACCTGATGTGATGCTATTTTTACTTAAATCATTATCATTCTAATATATTTAGTTCTGAAATTTACAATGGTTGTACTATGCAAATGAATTCCCTCTTGCTCTCTTGTTCTCATAACTGAAATGAAATTTTAATCCCCCATCTGTGACTTCACAAAAATCCCTATGGCAACTGGTTGTATAGCCAGGAAGGGAGAATGAACAGCAGCGCGAGAAGGAAGAAGGGCAGGGGTATGAGGGAGCGGAGAGGGCGTGCATGCACATATATGTGAGTCAGATGGCCTAAGAAGAGAACCACAAGGAATGCCTAGAAGAATTTTGCTTTTAATTTAAATATTTGTATTTTTGTGTGTGACTTTTTGGTTCAGTGTTCAAAGTCATCTTTCCAAACACAGGCTTCTGGTGACACTCACAAAAGTCTGGAAAGTCTGGTGTGACTTCCTCCCCCACACTCTAAGGCCTCCACTAGTCATGCTGACAGTTCTTCCTTGTCGGCAGATATTCTCAGAAAAGGCACCTAGGTAAAATGAAGAGAATCAGAATTTTCCCTCTGTAAAGTCTGCTTTCTCACCTGTGAATTGCCTTTTCAGATATTTATGCTTTTTATTTTTTAATATTATCAGGAAACAATGATTTAAAAACAATGTTTTTAATGTTTATTTATTTTTGAGAGAGAGAGAGTGCAAGCAGGGGAGGGTCAGAGAGAGAGGGAGACACAGAATCTGAAGCAGGCTCCAGGCTCTGGGCTGTCAGCACAGAGCCCGACGCAGGGCTCGAACTCACAAACTGTGAGATCATGACCTGAGCTGAAGTTGGACGCTTAACCCACTGAACCACCCAGGCATCCCAGGAAATAATGATTCTTAATAGCCCAAATCAGTATACCATTACCTACCCATGATGAAAAGCATAAGGAAAATTTGGTGACATACACTATTGCCTAATGCATGGTGAATACTGTTCTCTTTTTATTTAAAATTTAAATATTTTGCCTATATTAGTACATCAGATTAGGAACATTGAAATTAAGGCATGCAACATTCAGTAGTACGTAATCCTTTTTCTTTGTGCTGCCGAAGCTACAAAATGAATATTTTTGTTGAAATTTGTCATGTCTAGTGAAACAATGGAAGTAAATTCATTGGTAAAGCTAAGAATAAACTTTAGAGATATTTTTAGAGTGGATAGAAATTTTCAAAATCCAGTTATTTTGAACTTTAGGACATATATGCAATATAGCTTTAATTTCTTTTGTATAACTGGAGTTTTATTTAGAAGAAAACATTTAGAAGAAAATAACCCCTAATTAAGGGGATGAAAACTTGACATTCTCAGAAGGCATTATCTGAAATGTTCACTGTCTGCTGAAAACTTTCTTCTGATGGGATTTGAAGTGAGCAATTAGAAATGTTTATTTGATCTAATTCTTATAATAGTAAATATTTAGTCTGCCAATTTTGGCAGAAAAACAAAAACCAAATAGTGCATATGAATACTTACCCTAAAAAAAAAGTATCTGTTACTTATCTGAAGTTCAAATTTAACTGGCCATACTATGTTTTACCTAGTAATCTGATGAGTTTTGCAGCTTCTAACTTGTTGGTTCTATTTTTTTCTAGTACCTGTTTGATTCTTTTTTCTCACTGATAAAAAAAGGGAAAGGTACCACAATCACATCGGTTCTGCCAAAGCCAGCACTGGTTGCCTCTCGAGTGGAGGTCAGTATATGCGGGCTTCTTTTTGGTTTATGTATTTTTTATTTTCCCTATCATATGATAATTTTTTTAAGTGAATGATGTTAACCATTTTAATGTCTATAAGAGATGATTAGTGATATGGTAATTACTCATCATTTTAGCATCTAATTATTTTGCCTGTTCTTGATGGAATTTTCCTGTTTTGATATAAAATCATTTACAGTTTACTTCTAGAAAATTTGTAATACAATAATTTAATAAAGAATAGGCTTTTAGTTTCAAATTTGACACATTTTTTATTACTTAATAAACTATAGTCTTATGTACGCTTGAGATACAGTTCAGATTACAGAATCATTATTGATGATAGAACATTTTTTGTTTCAATGAGAAGAGTTATTATTCAATAGAATAATACTATTTTACCTCTAAAAAGCAAATGGATAAGGATTACTATAGCACAAGACTTGAATCCTTATTTATTTAAATACATATGTTAATATGTTAAAGTTTCTACCCATTTCCTTCATAGTTAAACCACACACATACCCACATCATTATTATATAAAATTTAGAAGAGTGTATATGTATTTTCAAGTATATATATATATGTATTGACTCTTTTTATAAATAAAAATAATTGAATTATATGTTTTATTAAAATGATAATTTGAGTTGGATGCTCTGTTTTAAGGATTTCCATGGCAGCCTCTTTGCCTGAGATGGAAAGATTGGAGGTAATTTACCCACTCAATGTGGAATGTGGGTTCTTAGTAGCCAAAGAAAGCAATGTACTTACAGTATAGTGTTTTTCTCAGAATATCAACTCATGTTCTTCAGATGTGTATCTTTTTGTTAATGGTGAGGAAAAAGACACAGTTTGGGATTCCACAGTGTCTTCGCATGTAGCAGGCATCCAATAAATATTTGTTGAGGCAAACCAATTTTCCCAAGTCCTTGTCTTTTGCAGTGAGCAGGAGTATCTTTCTTCTCTGAAGGGTTTGGCACTTGTGGCTCAAAACTAAGCAGTATCATTATTTCCTTGGAGTCACGTAACAGTCTGTAGAAGTTCAGTATGTTGCCAAGATATGAGCTTTATCTTATTGCATTATCTTTAAATATTTCTGGCACTAACTGTAAAGGCAAAAATGTGAATATGCAGGTGTATCCATGTCCCCTTGCCTTCTATGTTTTCATTTGTCCATTAGGGAAAGCCCAGGTCTCCTTTGTCCAGAAGGAAACCAAGGAATATTGAATGGAATACATTTAAATTTTAGGGAGATTCTTATCATATATGTGTGTGTGTGTGTGTGTGTGTGTGTGTGTGTGTGTGTATTTAAATATATATGTATATATTTAAATACATATTTATGTAATTATTTTTAGGTACTTATATATCTTTGAATAAAATGTAGACCTCTTCTCACAATTTTTCACTTAAATGAAAAAAGCTTCATGAACTTTGGAAATTGCTTTGAAATTAGAAATGTTTAAATTTTTAGTCTTTTTCCTCACATATTACATATTTTTCAAAATATTGTACTTTAAATCACCATGTAAACTTAGACAATATAGTTTGAGTGCTCCACTCATGAAAATGCCTATTTCCCCCATCTTCCTAATCAAAGCAATGTCATTTTCTTACTGCTTACAGGTCTCCAAAGTCCTTATCCTAGGATCAGGAGGTCTATCCATTGGTCAGGCAGGTGAATTTGACTACTCAGGATCACAAGCCGTAAAAGCCATGAAGGTGAGAGATCTTTGTAAGAATTAATATACTCCTTTAATGGGTCCAATTAGTATTTTATAATTTAGATTTATGGCACTACCTCCTTTCAAAGTCACTATAATTGATATCCTTAACTATTCCTTACACATCTTACATTAAAGAAACTTTGATCACAGGCAAAAATTTTAACTTTCTTAAACTTTTTCATGCCTGCAAATCAAGAACTTTGGCATGATCTCCAAAATTATCTATGTTACCACCTATTTATACCGAAAACATAAAAAGCCACATTTACAGATGTTGCTCATTGTTTTTGAGGCAGTGAGCTTTTAAAATATACTTGTGTTTTGTGTGAAAGAGGGAATTTGGGCTCTAAGATATTTTGAATGCTCTACAGGATGCTTCAGGTATCTATGGTTGAAATGGCAAGATCCAGTTGAGAGAGCAAAGGCATCAGTGCCTTTTGTCCAAGCTATAGATGTCACTAGGGGACCCAATTATCTGTCACTAGGGGACCCAATTTCCCCATCTGTGACTTGTGCTGGATGACCGACCAGAATGATTTGGCAGATGTTTACATGAAAAAGAGGATTTGATGCTCACGTTGGGAAGAACACCCTTCCTGTTTCTTCAAAGTCTTTCAAGATCTCCCCAACTCTTTGTTACAGCAAAATAAACCTTTAGAAAAAATTCACTGTACTTGTATTTCTATTAAGGAGCTAATCTGGTATCTCTTTGGTGTCCTCATTTCCTTGGATATCCCTATTTTGGTGCTAATCAGCCATCCAGTGGCCATGTGAGCTCTTCTGTGACTTTGCCTCTGGCTTTGCAGTATAAATCCGTTCACCAGAGACCTGGCTAGGAGAAAGCAACGCATTGAAGGTGGCGGGAAACTAGGGCAACAAACACAGAAAAATAATTGGCCAGAATTTTTCTTTTTGTTTTATTCAATATGCTGTAGATGAAGATTTTCACCTGACAGATGTCTGTTGAAAAAAACAGAATGCAGTCCCCAATTACCTTACTCTTCTTCCCATTTGTTTTTATTTTTTAATATTCTTCTCCATACATGCATAGGTGTATACACTCACATGCACATGTGTTTTTTGTGCACATTTTCAAGGACTACTTTACTTTATTGTAGTACGATTCAATTTCTCTTCGTATAATTAGAGGATGTCCAATGGTTTAGATTGGTTAGAAAACAATGTAAGTACATTCAGGGCTTGTAAATACATTTAATTAGCATACTTTTAAATCCTATTTGGTAGTTTTATAAAGGACTAGTATTTTCATAGCTTGTATTTTTTTACGTGCTTTACATCCATTAGGTGAAGTTATACATTTTAACTGAAGAATAGGCATTATTAGATAAAGTGTTGTGATTAAGAAGTTAGTAGAAATGAATTCATGAACTAAATATTTTAAAATAATCAGATGGTGCATATATTATAACCAGAACTATATTAGAAAAAAGTTAGAAAATTTATTAAAATAGTTTGAAATTATGTCTAAGTTTTAAAATGTATAAACACTCATCACAGTCATTTATGGAACTTTACTTATGTAATTTGATTTACAAAAGTAGCTATATTCCTTGTATAGGAAAATAGCTATATTCCTTGTACAGGAAAATACTTAAGTCTGTCGGTGCTTTTCTTCAGTAGTTAGACCTTCTGTAAGTTCTATTGATGACATGTTCTCAGTTTAGACTTAATTATTTAAGTTCCAACCCATATTTTAAATGCATTTGCTTATTTGTGTGTCTTTGTTCAAAAAAATTAATCATACTTTTTTAAAATCACTCTCTTAAACTCTTGAGAGATGACTCATATTGAGGAAAGGGCATAGAACTTGAATCATAAGACTTGGATTAGAGCCCTAATTTTGCCATTTATCAGGTCTTTAGCAAGTCATTTAACCTTATTGAATGTCAATTTTTTCATCTGTGAGGTAGAAATTTCTCTTGTAGTCTGGGTATAAAAATCAAATAAATTAATAAAAAAGTAAATTATAAGTTTTAAGGCATCATTTGAATTTAAAGTAATATGAAATATATTTAATATTTTATTCAGATTCTCCCCCAAGGACATGTAGGGCTTTCAAGGATGATTTTTATACTTTCATCTGAATATTTTGTTGATGTTTTAGGAGTGTTCAAAATTGACATGGTAATAGGTAAAATAATAAGAGCCATATGGCCATATTTTATAATAATTATTTTGCTAAGTGTCACACTCATCCTGGTTTATAAAGCTATTATCCTTCATAGCTTACATGAAGAATTATTTCTGAGGTATCTGCAGATGTGAGGCATAAGATAGGGCTATGAATACCTTTACACACACACACACACACACACACACACAGAAATTTTTATTTTATTTTATTTTTTGCCATTTGGTCATTTTCTATTAATATAACATGTATACACAGTGTATAATGCTTTTTGTTGAAGCACTAGGGCGGGCATTAAAATATAAAAAGATGGAATTCAGCAGAAGGCTCCTGATGCTTCCAGCAAGGGAGCACATCATCCTGCATTTTAAAAGTACATTCCGTGTTGGTCTCTGACAAACATTGCAAAGGGAGGCTTCTTTGATGTTGCCTGTGGTTCTATTTTATAGTTTACTAATTTCAAAGTTTTTAAGATATTTTCTTTAGTCTTTTAAGGTCAATTGAGCTATAAAGTTCAGCAGTATTTGTAGACCTCTAGCTAAATTCTATAGATGTTATCTTAAGTTTTGCCTGATGCCTCTAGTGGCAAGGAATTCAGGGTGAACCACATAGGGCAGCCAGTTCTTTTTGGATAGTTTTGTTTTCAAGCAATTTTTTCCTTCCTTTCACCAAACGTTAGTCTTTCTTTTTATTCCTAGTCCTATTACTGATCTCTGCAGCCCACAGAATGACCTATATGTTTTGTCTCCCAATACAAACCGTTTGTTTGAGTATGGTCGTTCTCTTCTTTAGACTATATGTTCAGATTCTGTGTCCTTTTGTTTTTTCAGGAAGAAAATGTCAAAACTGTCTTGATGAACCCAAACATTGCATCGGTGCAGACCAACGAGGTGGGCTTAAAGCAAGCAGATACTGTCTACTTTCTCCCCATCACCCCTCAGTTTGTCACAGAGGTCATCAAGGCGGAGCGGCCAGATGGGTTAATTCTAGGCATGGGTGGCCAGACAGCTCTGAACTGTGGTGAGTTCTTTTTGGCTTAACTGCAGAGTTTCAGCCCAGGTACTTCTGTGTAATATTTTTTGTTTGAATCCATCTAACAATTATGCTCTGTGTGTTCATAAAAGCCTTTCTTTCTTTAATGTGTGAGGAAGCCATTAGCAAACAGCCACCTGAAAATGTCATGTGATAAATATTACTGGTTTATTTCACAGAACAGCTAAGATACAAAAAGAAACCTTTTACTTGAATGCTCTGGGGCGGCGAAGTGAGGTCTCCCTCCTCCATTTCAGGAATTTGCTTTTCTGTGTTACCAGCGAAACACTGAGAACTACCATGAATAAAAAATGAGAATTAACATTGATTAAATGCTTTGTGCTCTTATGTGTTGGCCCTGTAGCATTTGGCTTTCACATATATTTTCATGATAACACAGTTTAGTCTCTGTGCAATCCCTTCATGCATCTGGTGAGTCCAATACTCTGTCCTTTTTACAGTGCTTCAAATCTTTGGAACTAGATAATGAATGAAAATCTCATTAGCTAGTTGGGGTAAGCAGTTGGTGATGTAATTTATAAGTCAAATATAAAAATCTTAGCTTAAGTGGCACGCAAATGGAAACACTATTTTGATTATTTTTAACCCATATAGAGATCCACATCACTGGGATTATTTAAATAAGAGAATCTCAATATAGGAATGGATCATAGAAAGAATGGAAATATACTAAAATCTAGAAGTTCACTGTATCCTATGATTTTGATTAATAAGAATAATAGAAATCATGTGGAGAAGGTGGTAATATAAGTAATAATACCACCAGCAAAATATTTTGCTAGAATGTCTTCAGAATTTCTTTCAATTTTTTTTTTTTTTTTTTTTTTTTTTTTTTTTTTTTTTTTTTTTTTTTTTTTTTTTTTTTACCTTAAGTACAATTTTATTGTAGACTGTGGTGGCTTTGGAGTTCATTTTAAGGTTAAAAAAAAAAAAAGTTGTATTCAGGTATCTGTTAAGAAAGACATCAGAGTTTGAGATTCTAAAAATTGATTATATTTGGTTCTTCCATAGGAGTGGAACTATTCAAGAGAGGTGTACTCAAGGAGTATGGCGTGAAAGTCCTGGGGACCTCGGTTGAATCCATTATGGCCACAGAAGACAGGCAGCTGTTCTCAGACAAACTAAATGAAATTAATGAAAAGATTGCTCCAAGCTTTGCGGTGGAATCGGTAAGGAATCTTTGTTCTGGAGAAACAAGGCCATTATTTGTCTTACATTTATAGGGAGAGTTATTTGTCATGCCTGAAAATAATAGCTAAATTATTATATATGCATATAATTTCTTCCAGAAATGTGTTAGTATCTCCGAGACTTTTTGTATTAATTACAGCCTTCCATGCTACAGTATTTGGGAGAGGTATTCATATTTTATGAAAAGGGAAGCAAAAGCCCAGAGATGAAGTGGTTTATCAGTGGTTGAAGTGCCACTGAATATCAGGTCTCCTGAATTAAATAAAACAAAGAACCATGTAAACTTACAATGCCAAAGTGATTTTTACTTTCTTTCTGGGACCAGTCACACATCTTGTAGATGGGAATGACCTGCAAATGGGAAATGATTGGATTGAAATTTTCTTGTTAGAATGGAATAAACATTTAAAAATGAAATTATCTAGAAAAAAGCCATTGGATCTAATCAATAAGATTCATGACTGAAAAACTTGTAGATTAGGTGTTTGGAGAGGATAAATTGTTTTGTGTTTTTGTTAATCACTTTCTATCATAGCCTGTGCCTATTGATAGGCTATTATGAGGCACCAACATAAATTTGGCTTGATATATATATCTGTTTTTTGTCCCTGACTTTATTCCTGATTTCAGGCATATATATTCAATAAAGTTGGGGTTCTGGAGGCAGTTTTTGATGCAACTTCCCTATTGCAAAAATAGGCAAATCTTGAGGGAAAAGGGCAACTATTGCCGGGACGACGGAAAATGGGCTGTGTGGTTTTAAGAAAAGAATGCTCACAAGTACATACAATGTTTCAGAGCTGTCAGTCAGGAATAGTCCCGGGATAACTCTGCTGAACATTTGGAAAGCTCCTGCCATACATTTATTCTTTCATTGCCAGATTTAATTATGTCCTTGCTTCCTCAGGATGCGAAACAGGCATATGGGAAAGGTGTAATTACACTCCCATTGGTAGTGTAATAATATTCCATGACAGAAAAATATAGCCACCATATGTTGTATTCTGTAAGTTAAAAAAAAAAAAAAAATCTACGCTTCTGGGACTATTCTCTGACTGAACTTGAAAAATGAAAACTCTTTCTATATAGTATTCCTAATGGCCTATTGCAAGAATACCAAGTTAGTTTCAGCAGTAGAAATCCTTGTATCATGAAGAGATGAAGGCTTTTAAACTGAATTTAAAGATTCAATATGGCTCCCATTCTCAAATTAACGATGATTTCAGCTTCAGCCATTGTTTTATTTTTTATATGGCAAAATAAAATTTGCAACAGAAAGATGAAAGAAAAACTTTCAGTGAGTATGAAAAAAATTCCTAGAATTTTACTTAAAATTTGTAAAACAACACTTGTTCTTCAGAATGAAATGAAGCAATAATACAACATTTCTATAATGATTCTTCCCAAATAAACTGATTTATCTCAAATGCTAGACTCTGTTGGTGTGGTCTTTTCTGCTAGTGTGGTCAGCTTTTCAAACTTTGAGTTTTCCTCATTGACAGATTGAGGATGCCCTGAAAGCAGCAGACACCATCGGCTATCCAGTGATGATCCGTTCTGCCTATGCTCTGGGTGGATTAGGCTCAGGCATCTGTCCTAATAAGGAGACATTACTGGACCTCAGCACAAAGGTATGTGTTTTCACAGACCAAATTCTTATCAATCAAGAAAACTGATTTGATAAACCCTTTCAGTTAGAGAAAGTTATGTAGATGAGAAATGACCTTTTCTCTACTAAAACCACCATCATGTTTTTTCTGTAAGTGTTATCCAACAGACCGTACCTTTGTAAGGGAAATGCAGTGCAGTTATTGACATTGGAGCACAGCATTAGCCAAATTTCTTGGTGAGCTCTCGCCGTTCTTGCTAGAACTGTTTTCTTTCCTGCTTATGTATGCTTCTTTTTATTAGATAAGGAGTTTTTTGTTGGTTGTGTGTACTCTCTTCTCACCGAATAGAATGATGCCTGGTGATATGGGGTCTCAATAATTTCTTGCTGAATGAATGAGTGCGTGTGCAGTCAAGAGACCCATGTAACTTACATGATGGTCGTGGAAGTGAATCTGACAGAATTATAAGAGCTATTTCGGGGAATGCTGAGTAAATACCAAGCACAGCTTGTATCTATCATTACTTACTTTTTAGAGAGAAACAAAATGAGGCCCTTGAGTTGTTGACATAGGATTTTGAGAACAGATAAATAAAATTAAATATATTTAGATAACTATAATGACAAACTTACATGTCAACAAGTTGGATTTAGTGTTTCTAAAGTTGCCAAAAGAAATAAAAAAGGACAATATATCAATATCAGTATTTCTTGTTTCCATTCTAGACTTATGAATCATATATTTAAAGAAAAGACAGGTTTATAGAAGTAATTTTTTTCTAGAATATTAGATGTTTCCAATATTTTTAGTATTAGTAATCTCATTATTACTCCCAGTAGTTACAATGTGTACTTATTCTTTATTAAGAATATATATTTTACAGTATAAAAAAATTCTGAACACTGAATTGTTTAAAAACATTTACAATGAAAGCAATTTGGGGATGGGATAAATTTTAATGATTTACAATTCCTCTAAAATAATCAGTAGGGCATTGAGTGTTTTTCTTTTGCTGAAAACCTAGCTTTTCCCTTGAAAATAGTTACTTTGTATCATTATTTCCTAAGCTACCCCTTATTCTCTTGATATTATGTTTACCACCTTCAGAAGCTGCAGTAACTCATCTAGGTCTTAGTCTTTTGCATAAAATCTGAGGCTGGAAAGAAAGAAGTTGAGGCAGCTTCTCATTTGATCTCAGTTGTCCTTGTGTCCAAACATCCAGCCTAGTCTATTAGAATGCAAAAAGCTTTCCGAAATTCTACCCTTTGTTTCACAGATTTCCTCTTTTAGCATGCAATCCTAATGACAAATTAATCATTATTAAATTGTTAATGCTGGTTACAGAGTTTCCTAACCACTTTGAAAACCTCATCATAGGCAGCTGTGGGGACAAATGTGTTACATTTTCCATTGCACATGGTGAATCCTATAGTGTTGACTGAAGTTAAACAAATAGTGTTGAGACACATTAAAGAAAAACTAACATTGAGTTATTATTTCATTATACTGCCTGCTAATAATTTGAAAAAATTCACAGTACTTTCTCTGGTTACTTTCTCTTCCTTTCTCACTGCTATTACAAATCAAAAACATTATGAGACAAAGGGACATTTCTGTCTTGGATTTTCAGCCACCAAATGTCCTAAGGTCAAAGACTTCCTCTTTCATATTTTGGGTTCAGTATTCTACCCGCCAGTGCATACTCAGTAAATATGAAATGATAATTATACTAATTCATATCTGTTTAATCAGGCATACATGATATATGACTCAGGGTATTTAAGCACTTAGGCGGTGATTAACCATAATAATAGTTGCATATGATTCTTCTAATTCCCAAGTTTCGTATGCCATCTTGGCTAACTGTTTACAACCATCATTATCTCCTTTCTTCTCCTCATCAACGTCAACTGACTTTTATTGTGTATGTCACTGTACAAAGCACTCTCAGCTATTTTAGAGAAAACCAGTCTTTAGACTTATTTTTCCATATTTATTCGCACTTATCACATTTTCTGGTTTCACAGAAGCCTTGCTGCTGAAATAATTCCATTTCCCTCTGCCTGATTGCTCAATTATTTTCTCTTTTTCCTAAATTAGTTTGATTTAATGTCATATCAGCACTTTGAATGGCAAGCCTCAATAATGTAAATCAAGCATATTCACTGCAGGATGCTATTCCTAGTACCTCACTGATTTTCTGACACATTGTGCCTTCTGGAGCACTGAGGAGGATGGAGACTAGGCTTCAGACCATGATGCTGACCGGGATTCAGGCCAGGGCACTGTGCCAAATATCCATGTTTAAACTAGAACCTTTCCTTACTCTTTGATACCTTGTGTCACCAACTTCCAGGCCTTTGCTATGACCAACCAGATTCTGGTGGAGAGGTCAGTGACAGGTTGGAAAGAAATAGAATATGAAGTGGTCCGAGACGCCGATGACAATTGTGTCACTGTCTGTAGCATGGAAAATGTTGATGCCATGGGTGTTCATACAGGTAGGCAAAGAATCTTCAAGAATAATAGTAATGCCTGCGTTCACGCTTCTGATGACCCATAGCCACTTTTATTGAGTTCTTTTCATTAAACTACTATTCTTAGCTGACTGACTAGTGATAATATTTTACACAAAATAGTATTTCACAATATTGAAAATAATCTCACGTTGATCTCATGTTTGATCTTCACAAAAACACTGTGAAATAAGTCAGGTATTATCCTGATTTCATTTGAGGAAGAAGTCAAATATAAACAATGTAGTGATGGTAAAATATGTAAGACTTGGTGTTGAGAAGTAAGAAATGAGGTTAAGACAGCTTAAATCACATGAGGGTATTAGTTACCAAGTGAATGAGAAAATAGCCACAAGTAATAGAAAAAGGTGAAATAGTTTTTTTTTTTTTTTTTTAGGAAGAGAAACTAGTTAGACAAGAGGACAAAAATTATGACTTAGGGTTCAGAAATGTTAGCTATGAGGCATGGGTGGAGTTCTCAAGAAGAGGGTTGATAATGTGGAGCTGGAATTCAAGAAAGGGGAATAGAAATAAAAAAGCTGATATAAAATCATTGGCAGGCATTGGTGTGAAGGAAATAATTGAAGCTGGAAGCTTCAATAGGCTAAGTATTCAAGGGCATAGGCATAGAAAGAAAGACAATAGGTTCAAGGACTGAACTTAGGAAATGTTTAGATTTACAGTGCAGGAGTAAGAGGAAGGGTTAGTGTTTAAGAAAAATAAGGGAGTGATAGAAAGAAAACAAGTAAGTCAATACAAGAAAATATTTTATAGAAGAGCTTTGGTTTTGGTTATATCAAATGCTATGAAAGGTCAAGAATTAGGATTTTAATGTGGGGTTTTGAATATCCAAGAAGACAGTTTTAATGCAAAGTTGGTTATGGGACTCATATTGATAAGAATTATATGGCAATGAGAGAGATGATGACTTGGGAAACTTTAAAGAAGTTTAGTCATGTAAAAAATGAGAGAGATGTTCTTGTGATTAATAATGTAGGGGGACAGGCTTCTTGAGCCAGTAGAATGTTTGTGGGCAGAAGGATTGGAGACTAAAGATTAAGAGATCGAAGATGCAAGGGCTATGACTAGAGAGGAGTAAGACAATGGGAAGGGATGAGATGTGGAAAACAGATGAATGAGTGAGTCTGGGTGAAGAGGAGATGATGTTTGTAGAAGGGAGAACTTGAGAGAGAGAGAGATTTTGAGATGAAGAGAAGAAATTGAAGAAGTTAATGTGAATCTGGTAAGTAGATGACTGAAGCCTTGATAGCTAGATGAACTTGGGAAAGGTTAGAGGGGTTTCTGTAAATAATGTGTTGGAGCAATGCACTGCCTTGAGACAATTATTTTCCCCACAAACCCTTAGACTAAACTGTGTCTTGTATTACACAAATAGATTAAGTCACTAAAGTTCGTTATTTAGATAAGCTACCAAATAACACGTGTTGCTTGGATGTACAGGTGATTCGGTTGTCGTAGCCCCTGCCCAGACCCTCTCCAATGCAGAGTTTCAGATGTTGAGACATACTTCAATCAATGTTGTTCGCCACCTGGGCATTGTGGGTGAATGCAACATTCAATTTGCCCTTCATCCTACCTCAATGGAATACTGCATCATTGAAGTGAATGCCAGACTGTCTCGAAGCTCTGCCCTGGCCTCAAAGGCCACTGGGTAAGATCAGAATGATTGACCATGTGTTTGCAGATCCTTCACAGATAGTTTTGGAAAACTGACAGCTAGTGGAAGACTGTGCTACGTTTATAAGCTATAGTCCCCATTTCTGTATGCTGGCTGCAAATCATTTAGGACCCTAAGGACATGGTTATTAATGAGCTTGCTGCCAGATTGAAGCAAATGATATTGCTTGCTGGCTTTGTTTGCTGGCTAATCATAAACTAATCAAAATCTGGGTGGTCAAAGCAGGCTGCGAAAAATCTGCTTCCTAATTGCACTTTGCAGATATTGTTAAAAAGTGAAAATTAATTCTTAAATTTAGGCCTCAACTGGTTTCCTTCAGGTGTATAGTAAATATCAGGTACATAGTATAGTTTGCTTGATTTAAATATTCAAGAAATTATTTTATTTTAGCAAAATCCACAGGATCAAACATTGCAAGGTTTTTCTATAGATAAAGGTCGCAACCAAATAAATGAATTTGCTACCCATTTAAAAACCTCTGGCAAGCATAACTGGGGGGAACATTAACTAATACCTTTTGTTCCTGTTAATATATTTAGCACATTGCATTTAAATTACATGGCATTTAAGGGAACAAAATAATTACGTGTAAAAATTTTTTTTTTAATATGGCTCCACACTGCTGCATGGAGTAGTGGTAAACTACTACCCTAAGCAAGAGTCAGGAGACCTGAGTTCTCCTCCCAATTCTTCTACTGACTATGTGACTTTGGACATGTCATTTATTGTCTCTAATCAGTTTCCTCATCTGTCGGATGGGGGAGATGTATTACAAGACTCATATGTAATTCTATAGTTCTGTGAATTATTTTCTTAATTATAATCATCAAAACAATCCAGTGAAGTCCCTAGAGTATTAGTTTTTTCCCTTTGCTTTCTTTCTTTGTTTCCTTTCTTTCTTCCTTTCTTTCTTCTTTCTTTTCTTTTGAGAGGGAGAGAGAGAGAGGACATGTGAGTGGCAGAGGCACAGAGAGAGAGGGAGAGGGAGAATCCCAAGCAGGCTCCGTGCTATCAGTGTGGAGCCCCACGTGGGGCTCAATCCCATGAACCCTGAGATCATGACCTGAGCCAAAGTCAAGAGTGGGTCACTTAACCAACTGAGCCACCCAAGTGCCCCTCTAGAGTGTCAGTTTTGTAAGGAAACCCAAGTTCAAAAATAATTTGGAGACTGATCAAGGACCCAAACTTTCAATTACTACGTTTTCTGGCCATTGCATACCCCATAGTACCAGCTAACTCAGCTGTCTTCCTAGGTGCAGACATGTGTATATCTTTTCAAGAGTATTTTTCAGATTCTTATCTTAGTGGAGCCTATACACAAGTGAGCACTTTATCAAGGAAGCCATTGATTTTGGATTAAAGAGGCGAAGGTTGGCAGTTGTAGCCCTGAATGTCAGGCATAGAGAGTGAATTCTTTTGTGATCTGTGCCTCTCTGCTTTATCATGGCTCACATTATTTTATAAGTGGCTATTAAATCTTCATACAGAACAGAGAACCAGATGTGTTTTATACCCTGATGTGGAGTAATACCAGAATTTCTAAGAAAGAACAATTTATGTTTTGGGTTGTTTTTAACACTTATTGCTGAAAGAAAAAAAATATCTCCTCCTTTATAGCTACCCGTTGGCATTCATTGCTGCAAAGATTGCCCTAGGAATCCCACTTCCAGAAATCAAGAATGTTGTATCGGGGAAGACATCAGCCTGCTTTGAACCTAGCTTGGATTACATGGTTACCAAGATTCCTCGCTGGGATCTTGATCGTTTTCATGGAACATCTAGCCGAATTGGTAGCTCTATGAAAAGTGTAGGAGAGGTGAGTCCTTGGTTTATTCTTCTATTTTATTCTTGTCCTCAGTTATTTTGTCAAATCCTTAACATTTTGAAAGTCTTAAGGTTGCCTAGATACTGGGTTCTTGACTGGAGGATAAAAAGGAATTTCATTTCTTCCCTAGTGTTTCAACATCTCTCTGACTGGTAACAGAAGACATTTGTTACATGGCCATTTAATAGATCTTAAATGCTTTTGTTTAAAAGGAGAGGCCATATAGGTGGATGTATAATGTATTTGAGTATATGAAAAAACATATTCATATATACACACAAACACACATATATAAAACTGAGTTATAATGTATTTATAAACAAATCTAGAAAATAACATGGTATAAAATGGTGCACCAAAAAGATCACTGAACTGAGGTTAAGAATTAAATTTTAATCTATTCACATAAATTGTGGCTTTATCCTCCTTGGACTTCACTTTCTATATGTCTAAAAGAAAGGGCCTGGACTAGACAGTCTGTCATGTCCCATCTAGCTCTAAAATTCAAAATCGAGAAGCGCTTCTTTCATTATATTGAAATGGTCTAAGTGTTTAGGACCTTTAGATTTTTCATAATGTCCTTTTATACTATTTGATATTAAAATTAGCTTTTGATTATCCCATCTTCAAAGATGCAGTGCTCCTCTGTGCAGGAGGAAATTAAAAAATTCAGATCCCTGCCTCTGACAGTCACCCCTTTCCTTCCCCACCAAGGGGTTTATTTCTTCTTAGATCCAGTTGGCTTAGCATAAGTGGAGACAGCATGAGCCAAACTAAATGGGCTTCTGTTTTATTTTGGTGTTGCCACTTACTAGCTAGAGACATTCATACAAGACCCTGGTCTTCAGGTTTTCCATCAGAAAATTGGAGATGATAATACCTACCTTGTGGGGTTCTTATAAGGTTTATGATTAATAGATGTAAATATTTAGTAATGTCTTTTAAGGTAGATACATAGTGCATCCCCAATAAATGTATTCTTTTTTAAACATTTTATTATTTTTATTATATTTTAAATTTTATTTAAATCCAAGTTATTAACATCTAGTGTAATAATGGTTTCAAGAGTAGAATTTAGTGATTCATAAATTACATATAACACCCAGTGCTCATCTCATCAAGTGCCTTCCTTAATGCCCGTTGCCCATTTAGCCCATCCCCCCACCCCACACCCCTCCAGCAACCCTCAGTTTGTTCTCTTATTTAAGAGTCTCTTATGGTTTGCTTCCCTCTCTGTTTTTGTCTTATTTTTCCTTCCCTTCCCCTATGTTCATCTGTTCTGTTTCTTCAATTCCTCATATGAGTGAAATCATATGATGTTTATCTTTGACTGACTTATTTTGCATAGCATGATTCACTCTAGTTCCATCCACATTGTTAAAAAAGGCAAGATTTCATTCTTTTTGATTGCTGAATAATATTACATTGTGTATATATACCACACCTTCTTTGGGCTCTTTCCACAATTTGGCTATTGTTGATAGCACTGCTAGAGACATTGGGGTGCATATGCCACCCCAATAAATGTATTCCATCAGTATTATTGTCGCTATTTACGGGTAGAATGTTTGATTATAAGCAGTATGAATGAATCTCAATCTCTATTGATCGACTGATCCATCCTCTATTTTATTTTATCTTGTCTGTGTCTCTATATGGCCTAGATATGTAAGCTGGTTAGATTACAGAGCAAAGAACTATTTATGACATGTTGTTCTATATTGGCCTTCATTTGTCCTACATTACAGATTATAGCTTATCCTCAGACTAGCCATTGCAGAAATAATGGCCACTAATCACAGGAAGTGCAGCTTAACTCCATCAGTAATGCAGGAGAAAAGAAAAAAAAAAAGACATTTTACTGATCAATCATAGTCACTCATGAAAGGCAGAATTATTACTATTTTGGTTTCCTTAGTTTCCAAGATGTTAATGTAAGATTTTAAAGTAATGATAGATAAGGAAAACTTGAATTTTTTAATTAAAATGTCCTTCTAGTAGTTGTAAAAAAACAGGTAGTCCTTGATAGCTGTTTTAAATATAATTTTTTCTATTATGTTTCAAGGTGCACAAGAGAATTAGAACTCAAATGCCATGTAAAGTTTTGTTGGTAGTGTTTCTGCCCAAATAAACAACTGCTACTTAGCTTATTCCATGGAAAGTGTCCCTTTTCACATTGCTCACAATACAATTTATAGGCCAAAGAATATAAGATAATTTTTTGTAATGTGTTCATTTAGGGATTATTATCTAAAGGATTTTGTTGTCAGTGAATTTTTTACATCATTCAGTTAGTTCACCTCAAGTTAGGAAATGTTTCTTGAGTTCTTCCTACATGAAAGATGCTGGTAGAATAAAATAGTGAATAAGATGTAGATACTTCGTTACATATTATCTGCAGTTGGTAAGTTCAGAATACATAACTAGAACCAAATATAATATGAATTCAACTGTGGTAAAAGTTAAAATACAGTATTCACCTACAGGTGCTTTAAGAATGTAGTAGAACAGGGTCAGGGAATCGGGTTAGGGCCAGGTCAGTTATTCCACGGAGAAATGGTGAAATTTTCACTTAATGAAGGGGAATTTTAATAATACAAAGTATTAAAAAGCACAGATTTTGAGCAAACACAGTTATGAACTCTTTTATTATTATATAAGTATGTTTGTTTTTCTTTTATTGAACATATTCTCTACACTATTATGTACAGTGTACTTAAAATTAATAAAAATGTATGATGAATTTCTTATAGAACCAGTTACTTTATGGCCAACTGTTAAATATGTAATACCTAAAAACTGTATTAAATATTCCAGAAATGTTTTCCCTAATTTGATAGTACCATAAAATGTCTTATTTCTGGCAGTCCCTCTCATGCTTAGGCTAGCAAGTCTATGAACATACTGTGTAACCCTTCAAATACCACGACGCCTCGCAAGTTGCTTATCTGAATGGGACTAGCATTTTATTTATCTCTGCTCTTGAGAATCTTCCAACTTCTAATTAAATTTGGGGCAGCGTGAAAGGTTATCTGTTTGGCTTTTGTGATCTTTGAATATGTATCTTGTCACACAATTGACATGAGGATTTACCAAACTGACATTAATGGGAATTCGGGTCTATTTGAAGAATCACGGAGGTACACTGAAGGCAGCATTATCACTGTTATTATTTTAAATTGGAGACCAAAAATGCATAGCAATCTATTATTCCATGGAAAGGCTCAAAGACAGTGTTTATCTACTGAAAATAACTGGGTGGATTTGACGGCAATTGAAGTTTAGCTCTGACTTGTAACGCGTCCAAACTGAGTCACCACATGGTTTTCCTAATTGATTAGTGTACAATCAGTTGTAAAGATTGTGGAAAGACACACTGAATTTGTCATGGGGAATTTAGTCTCTGCCTATATTCAAAATCTGAATCTGTCAGTATTCATTATGATTCTGAAGGTTTTATTAATATTAATGCTTAGTTATAAAGAAAGCCAACCTGTCTTGGATAGTGACTGATAACCCATTTAGAAAGAGTTCTGTTTTTGTGTCAATATATGTCTGGTTTCTCTTCATTTAGTTTTCTATTCTAAAGAACATCTTGAATAAAAGCAAGGTTTTATTAAGAAAGGATCTATATGCTCTGGCCATGTATTCCTTATTTTAATATTATAGTTCAGGACAGGTGCAGGCAATTTCCTCATCAGTCTAAGCAAATAAAGCTAAATTTCCTATGTGGTAAAAGACTGACCTAATATTGTTAAAGAATCATTACATCAAAACCATGGAGAAAAGGAGAGTGGAAGAAAAATAGCACCTAATTTTGAGTACTGTTCTTCCTTACGTGTTTTGTTCCTAAGTCTTTCCTGAAAAAATATTCCATTTCTGGGTTCTGTTTCAAATTCAAAATATGGAAGGAAGCTTTTTAAATCCAAGTGCGTAAATGTGCATTACAGGTCATGGCTATTGGTCGCACCTTTGAGGAGAGTTTCCAGAAGGCCTTACGAATGTGCCACCCGTCAATAGATGGGTTCACTTCCCGTCTCCCGATGAACAAAGAATGGCCATCCAACATAGATCTCAGAAGAGAGCTGGCTGACCCATCCAGCACCCGCATCTATGCCATTGCCAAGGTAATATGTGCTAATGGGTCCAGAGCTACTGTTTTCTTCAGAATAGAGTCAGCCTGGACTTTATAGTAAAACTGAATCACAGAGTGGTTGTGAATTCAGGGATTTGGGGGCAAAACTTTCTTTTCAGTAATATTATACTGGAGACTTCTGTGGCTTTCTTCTGGTTATTCTATAATTAATCAAATATTACCACCTTTTTGGAATTTGATTTAAGCCTGGACTTAAGGACATCTATTACAGCTTTAAAGGATGATCACAGACATAAAATGTTCCTCCTTTTTGGTATATGTCTTATCAATACTCGCAAGTAGGTTTGATCATTTTGAGTTACTGTTTCCTACCACTCTCATTACTTGTTCCTTGAAAATGTATAAAATTGTATTTTAGAAAGGAAGATGCATAAAATAGTATCCTTTAGTATATGCTGCCTCAGACTTGAAAATAATCTTTATTCGCTCCTTTTTCTATGTTTAAACAACAACAACCATAAAGATCTTCCATGATTATAGGCTTTTTTGTGTAATTATTTTATTGGTCTTACTTTTAGAACAAAAAAGCCCCACATTTCTCACTTCTACCCATGAATTCCCTTTTATGCAAATTAAGTGCCATATTAATCTCCTTTCATGTTTACTATGCATAGAGTTTTGAAGTTTCAGCTCATCTGATTTTATAAAAGGTGACTTGGGCAGCTGGGATCTGACCGGTCAGAAATCCCTGAATGGCTTTTTGACATTTAAGGAAGCTTAAACATTAATCCTCCAACAGTATCAAACCACACTGAAGCTACAAAGCCCCACTGACCATTTTATATGTCGTGTGCGCATGTGGGATGAGTTGATGAAAATATGAATTTTGCCTTTAAAGAGGGAATCAATCCGTCTTTGTAATTTGCCTTTGTGTGACAACGGAAAAATGCTGTGAGTGATTTTGAACTCACTGCAACTTTAATGTCCATATATTGAGTCCTGCTGAGAGGGGAGAAGGGAAGGGAATGTTTCCTTCGTTGCATATAATGTTATACTCTCCTCACCTTTATGGTTTCTAAATGCAGAGTATTAAGTTCCATTGAAATTCTGGCAGATGCTAGTATCTTTTGATGGACATTTCCTAATATTGAGTTTCAAGGTAATAGAGAATTAACATTTTTCAGTGGGGGTGATGGTGGTAATGAGCGGTTATTCCAGGGAGCCATTTCACCTTCTTTATTGTTCTTATTCAAGTCTTTTGTTTAAAAAAGCATTCTACCATATCATATATGCACACACACACACACACACGTGTATATGTGTATTACATATATGTGTGTGTGTGTGTGTGTGTGTGTGTATATATATATATATATATACACACATATGATTTTTTTCCAGACAAAGGGGAATAATTGGATTGTTTTCTGTAAGCCTGGTAATCATCCTCTGCCATTTTGAGGCAGATGAAAAAGGGAAGTATTTCCAAGTTCCCAGTGAGGCTGTAAAACTCAAACAAATCTCTCATTCTTTTCTGACGGACTTATAAAGGATAAGAATTCGGGAAAAATGTGTGGAGATTCTTTCTCGCAGAGTACTCTACGTACGAGCAAGAAGTGCAGGGGCTGAGGTGTAAATTATTGGCTGCCAGAGTGCCGGCAGAAGGAACTGATTTCTGTGTGTTAGAGGTCATCATTACTGTTCATTTCCACAGCAACCGGGAACTTGGTGGTTTTGACAAAGAGAGTAAGGACTGTGGAGGGCTGAAGGGGAAAAAGAATGAAGGGAGTGAGTAAATCTTCGCTCTTTTTCATGATTCTTAGAAAAGGGCAAGTTGCTCAGAGGCCTGATTTTTGCTGCAGTCTTATTTCAGGATGACTGGATCATCACCTCTTTTGATTTGGGGAGAATACAGGGCATTATTTTTGATTTGGGAAACATTAGAGTAACCTCAAACTTGTTTGGGGTCATTATGAACTTTATTATAGCCGTGTGACATGGCAGTGCTGTAGTGCTTGAAGATGAAGTCCTAAGACGGCAGGATCTGGCTTTCTGTCAGAAACTGTGGATGTGACTGTAGTTGTCCTTCCTCACTGGGAAATGACTCCAGGATTCTAGGTCCTCTGCCAATTGCAGGGTGATTACTGTGTGTGATTGTGTGAAAACTTCCTCTGGTCTGTCAAAAGTGTTGCTAACTTCAGATTCTATCCCCCTCTCAGTGTTGATGGCCAACAGCTAATTGTGTCTTTAATCACTTGGAAAAATGAGACAGAATATTAAGTCCTGGGGAACATGGCTATATAGAGGGAGAATAAAACAAAGAAAAAAAACACCACAGACTTATAGTAAAATGATCTTGCCTTTGAGTATTCCCAATAAATATCATGTTATGCTAGTCAACAGAATTATGAACTGTGCTGTCTCTCAATACTTATTATCATTATCTCTCTGATGCTAGACAGAAGTGAACGTTTAGAGAAAATTAAGCTCCTGCAGTTGAAATAGAAGAGTAGAATTACTAGTTACATATATTTCTTAATGGGATTTAAAAATATGGTGTGTCATTTCTAGAACGTGTTATTTTGGAGCATTATCTGATTATTATTTTTCATAGAGTATAAATATATATCTAAAAATAGCAAAGAATAAGAGTGGATATCTTTTGAATATCAAGGTTTGGGTTTTGAGAGTTTATTTCTTCTCTCAGTTGTCTTTTCTACTCAGCTTAATGACCCATAGTTGTAATTTTACTTCTGAGAAATTGCTAAAGTAAGCTTGAGGAAAAAGCTGAGCTTCCTATCAGAACAGAAGTTATTACTACATTGTTTTGGAATATATTAGGATTCTGTAAAATGCCTGTCTTAGCACAAAAGTCGTAGTAACTGATTCAAAATAATTTTTTTGTTTGAAGTCCTCTCTGAGGAAATGTTCTAAAGAAATAGCACTGAGTCAGATTTGAGCCATAAATTCTCACTGACTGGTTTGTGTGAATGTGGAATGAGGTGATAACAATATGGTATTTGCCAAAGGGTAATTATCCAAAAATACAAGTTAAATGATCGTTGTATTGATTCTAGATTTTCCTACCAATGTGTCTTAACTGTAGTTTCAAGAGATTCTCTTTAATTCCAAAGAGATGTATCAAATTTAGGATATAATTGTTAACATGGTTATATAAAAAGCAGGAAACATGGTTATATAAAAAGCAGGAGATCTTTCTAAGCACACACAGCTCTGATTAACTCAAGGCGTCTCCTTGGTATGCCATTTGGGATACAGTTGGTAGTGTCAGTAGGTTTCTCGGGAGGAACATCAATGATATGCTATTGGTTCCGTTCTCAGTCTATAGCCTTGGGCTCTCTGAGTGAGGGGGAGGAGTGGCTGCTATAGGTTTTCAACCAAATAAGACACTTATAAAATGGGTGCCAAAGAAAGTGTGTCTTCTTTTGGCAGGCCTTGGAAGACAACTTGTCCCTTGATGAGATCATGAAGCTCACATCCATTGACAAGTGGTTTTTGTATAAGATGCGTGACATTTTAAACATGGAAAAGACACTGAAAGGGCTCAACAGGTAAGGCAGTGTCCTCTGATTTGCTCCAGATACTTTCTGTGTAACTTTCATCCTCTCTTACCCTCAAGCATTTGGCCAAAATTCTGCTTCAATGGAGTAAATAGTGCCAAGATTGGAAAGCAGGAGCCACAGCCACAAGAAATGGCAGTTTTAGATGTTTAATTTACCTTTTGAAAGGTATCTTCTAATATTCTTAGCTACCTTGAACCCCTACCACTGCCATCAAACATAGTGATATTTTATTAAGTATTTTGAAGTTATAAAAATTGGGATACATTTATGAACTCATGTGCTATTTGACTTACCAAAAATTACCTAGATTAAAATTTTATCAGTCAATAATTAAATGAATAATATTCCTATCTTCAATAACATTTCTAAGTTCTGAATTCTATTTTACTCTTTTAATATCAATCTACATATTGCTGTATATTGATGGGCAAATGTATTCCTCTTGCATTTTACTGATATTTTTAACATCGGGACTTCCAGTTCAGCATACAAATAAGCCACATTCAAGTTTCTGTTAATAGATTCTTTACCTCTCACTAATTTACATTTTTATCTCCTTCATGGCCAATTATTTTTAAAATTTCATTTCATGTTCAGAATATTCTGATAATGTCAGTGCTTTAAAATCTACTTTTTTATTTTCATGAGAAGACCGTTTGTTGGGGCACCTCAGGCTTATGAAATCACAGATAGGTTTTAAACATGGATCTTTGATAAGAGGAACATTTATTACGAATCTAAGGAAGACAGTATAATCTTCTTTAGCTTCTCCCTTTAAGAGGGTTCTGAAATATACTGTTATTAGAAAGAAGTCTCACCTACAAGCCTAGGTATACGTTTAGAGAGAGGGAAACTTTTTGTTTGCATAAATGATTCCCAAATGATTTGAGAAAATGTAAAAATATTAATCATTTCAAATTTCGTTGAAGACAGTGGAGGTTCTCAAAATCTACCTCTGTAGACCTCTGTTACCTCTGTTACCGTGTTTACCTAATCAAGATGCACACAAACAAGGCAATAATACCTCTTGCTTTTCTTTAGGAGCAATATGAGGTACTTTTTCATCTATTGAACAGTTGCCCACAACAAATGCTTGGTTTTGAAAATTGGGGATTCCAATCTGCCAAAAATGAAACTAGCTGTGGTTGCCTATAAGTCATCCTTTCTAGTGGTCACATAAAATGAACAGTAGATAGCAAATACATTAAGAATTGAGCCCATACATTCATCTTAGAATTTTGCTGACTTGAGGTTTCTTTTCTTGGTTTGTGAGGCCAGCAGAACTTCCATGTTGAATTATATAGTCTGTTTCACTGTTTTCAGTTTCAGACAACTGATTGCAAATGCCTGTGAAACCACTCCAATTAAAACCACATGAGGGTGCTAGAAACTTAGAGTATGCCAATCACAGCAGGGAGGAGACCTGGGGTGAAAAATAGCAGATGTTATTGTGATTTAAATTTTCACTTCATATACATTCTGATTTGGGGACAAATTCTATGTTTCAATTGAATAGTTTTTGTTGCAACCAGAAAGCAGGTTGAAATTCTAACTAAGCAGAAATAAGTGGATGGATGATAGTGAAAAAGTCCTCGGAGGATTAGACCCATACTGTTAGAGATCACTTATAATATCTTTTGACTTCCACATTCTGTTGCATTTATTTGCTAATAATTTAACATTTTTAGTTTCTGTTTCCATTCTTGTTCACAATGATCAATATTAAAATTTTTTATATAAATCTTTCAATAATTCAAAAGATTCCAAAAAAATTATACATAAAATTATCTTTTGTCTCAAGAATTCAACAGGTATTAATAAACCTAAATCCTGAATTCATTATTTTCTGAATGATACTTTACTGTTTATTATTATTTTTTTGAAGTGGTATAGATGCACACACAGCAATTTGATAATGATTATTATTTAGAAGTGTTAGATAGAGGGGCGCCTGGTTAGCTCAGTCAGTTGGGCTTCTGACTTTGGCTCAGGTCATGGTCTCGCAGTGCATGGGTTCGAACCCCACATCAGGCTCTGTGCTGACAACTCGGAGCCTGGAGCCTGCTTCAGATTCTGTGTCTCCGTCTCTCTCTGCCCCTCTCCTGCTCACACTCTGTCTGTCTGCCTGTCTGTCTGTCTCTCTAAAAAATACGTATTTAGAAAAAAAAAAAGAAAGAGGTGTTAGATAGATTAAAAAAAGCCTAGATGGGCCCTGAAGCTACCTGTCTCAGTCATTCTGTGGTACATAGAAGTCTAAATAGAGGTCTAAAGTTGGATAGATGTCACGGCTGATGGAGTGTAAGTATGTAGGGCTTGAGTTTTATTGTCCTATTTTGGTTATCTTCACCGTTACCCTGGATTATGATATCTCCTGCTTTTTCGCAGACCTCTAAATATCCAAACAGGCTTAGCCATCAAGGCAGATTCTGCTCCAACAGTAATAATAACTATTATCAGTTGGCATTATGTAGCTGAATTGTGTCTTACCTATTTGCAGAAAGTTTACAAAGATTAGTTCTTTTCCCTTTGCATTCATCTGTGGTTCACTTCGTTTCAAAATCTCAACTGTTCCAGCACTGGAAAGGCTCACTTTAGATGTGGGCCCAGGAGGTAGCTATTTATTTGGTGTGATTTGAGATGGCCCCTAAATTATCTTACCTCAATGTATCTCTGGTGCCAATGTGCCCAGGTCCCTTTGCATTCTTTTTAGGTACCTTTGGAAATAGGCAGTGGGGATCTCAGCTGGGAGAAGAGCAGAAGCTTAAACATAGGACAAAGTATAGAATGATACATGTGGGTTAGGTTTCACTCAGTTCCTTTCTCATGTGTTGGAAGAGTATAGGCTAAGGAGCTAGTCAGATAATAGGTGTGAAGTCTTCCCCGCTGTGGACTCATGGGCATGTCACCTCCCTCACTTCTCTGGCCTCACATTCTTTCTGCTAATGTCTGCCTTATACTTTTGTTGTGAGGCTTAAACAAATATAAATATAAAGGACACCTGGAACATGATGAGTGCTCAACAAGGTTTTCCCTCTGAAAATGAAAATGCTACTTATGATGATGAAGGGTATTTTGTGATTTTAGATATATGCGTTTAAAGACAATTTTTAGAGTCACAATTTACATTTGCTTACATATTTCACAGTGTATCATTTCTTAATTTTCTTTATGATGCATTGTCACCTTATTTTAAAACCAGATCTTTTTAAAAAAAGAAGCAATGATAGCAAGTCCTACAGATGCTATTCTTATCACAAGATCAATAACACTCCATTATGCTAATGAACAAAAATTCCCACTCTACCGTTGTTAATCATGTTAAGATTCTTCTAAAATCCAATAAACACGTTTACTAGCAGAGGATGAGAATATCATTCGAATTGATGGCCAATCTATGACTTGTATTTACATATGGTCATCTGAAATGAAGTTCAGAATTTGACTCCTTAAATGGAATATACCCACATATTTGGTATATATGTGAATGCCCACAGACTGGAGTGGGGAAAACAATGATTGTAACGACGTTGGCATTATGGAAATAACTGACGAGTTTTCCATGTCTGTGAGAAAGTGGAAATTATATAAATTCCTTTCCTTGAAGGGTGGAGATGAGCATGTATCGTGCTGAGGATGATGTATGAAACCCCAGCCTTTTTTAGGGCTGAGATGTTGGACCACTCTTAGAATAATCGACCTGGCGTCCCTGCTGCAAATGCCTGCTCCCATCAGAACTCAGTTTGCCATCTCCAATACATGAGTATAGCAATGGGAGCCCTCAGGAGACTTCCAGAGCAATAGCCATTCTTACCAATTTAGGTGATAACCATTATTCAGACAGCTTCAGCAAAAAATTTCTCTTCCCCACTTGAGTTCACTGACTTTCTCCTTTTCCTCTTAAATTGTTTATTGCTGCCCAAGGGCATGCTAGGAAAGTTGACTGTTCTAGGCAGTTCCCCAAATTTATAAGCTGGTGTAGTGGCATTAATCGACCTAGAGTGATAACATATTTTACAGTGAATTCCTTTAGGTTTTCAAAAGTTTCTCTTTATTCAAAGTGATATGAATTGTATCATGTAGGATTCCAATGCCTGTTATTCATATCCATTGGGATTTAGATGTTTAATCTATTAACTTCCCATTAGTGGATCACTTTCCAAGAAGTTTAAGAAAACTTAAGTCTGGGGCACCTGGGTGGCGCAGTCGGTTAAGCGTCCGACTTCAGCCAGGTCACGATCTCGCGGTCCGGGAGTTCGAGCCCCGCGTCAGGCTCTGGGCTGATGGCTTAGAGCCTGGAGCCTGTTTCCGATTCTGTGTCTCCCTCTCTCTCTGCCCCTCCCCCGTTCATGCTCTGTCTCTCTCTGTCCCAAAAATAAATAAACGTTGAAAAAAAAAATTTAAGAAAACTTAAGTCTGTCGAATTTTTAGTGGAACAGCAACATTTACATAGACTCTATCCGCTGGCCTTCACAACTGAACTATTCACATTTTAATATGGCTATTTTCCCCACACTCGCTCATCTTACCAACACCGACTCTTTCACACCTAATGCTCCTCCCCTATAGCATTTTCATAAATGCTCATGACAAGAAAAAATATACTTATTTTGATCTATTAAAAATTAGAAAAATCTCACCTGTAATCCTTTCCTCCATTAGCATATAGATAGATTCAATTTTGGTCATGCAAATAAATCTGACCTGGAGGGCAGAAGTACAAGTACCATAAATCAAATGTCAAATGTCTTCATCAGCTAGGTTCTCCTGATATAGCTGATTCCCTTAGGTAATAAAAGAATGGATTTAGAATTATATCTTTTAGTACAGAAACTTGAGCTTTGATTCAATCAAGCAATTCTGAATGCCTTCCAAGTATAAGATAATAATCGCAAAATTTGTAGACTACGTATCAGTCGCTACTCTAGCTACATTATTTCATTTAATTTTTACCACGACCTAAGGAAGTCAGTAGTTATCCTGATTTTATA